CCGCCTGACGTGACCATGGGTCTGAGGGCCACGGCCGCCGTACGCACGGAGAGGACTTCTGCTGGCCGGTCGTTCCCCCGCGACGGCGGGGAGCAAGAGGGACGGGCCGAGACATCGGACGACAGAGCTTTCTCGGCGCCCTCCAGCAGTGACGAGAAGGAGGGGGGGGCGGTCTCGCCGCGGGGTACTACCGCGCCCCCCGTCGTGACAGCATCGTCCCCGGCCGTGCAGCCCAGGAGGCAGCATTCTTCCCTCCGATCCGATGCTGCTGCTGCTGCTGATAATGATGGTGGTGGTTCTGCTGCCGCCGGCGGCGCTGGTGCAGGACCGGTGGCGAAGAATCCTCTTCGAGAGAGTCTGCGGCGGGAAAAACACCACCAACGGCAGCAACACCAAGACTACAAATCGTCCAGGGAGAACGAATTCAAGGTCCTGGACTCTCCCCAGACCGCTGCCGTGACGAGCGCTGATTCCGCACCGTCTTCCAAAGGGCCGCGCAAGTCCCGCAGCAACTCCTTGCCGTCAGAAGCTGATGATGCGGTAGCAGCGTCCACAGCTGGGACGGTCGGCGGCAACGACGGCAAACGCAAGCGCCAATGCCAGGAAAGTCAACCCCCCCGATCTCCTTTACCCGCACCTCTTTCTTCGGCTCGCGTCGGCGGAGGCGGCGATGAAAGAAGAGGCTACAGAGCTGGGCTAGAGACAATGGCTGCGGGGAGCACCGAGCCCGCGGAAGCGGGGGAGGGTCGTCAAATCCACTACCAGGTTTGCTTATTACGCGCTCTTACTTTGCGCATGGCACAGCTGTTTCTTGGATCGTTGGCCGCTGTACACCACTACCATTGTACTACGTTTGCTCGACGTCTCTTCAAGAGTTGCTTTCCTCGGTTCCGTGAAGCTCCATCGCGTCGCACGTTGGACGTGTGTACGAGTTGTCTTTGGGAGGCTCGGGGATAGCGAGCAGGAGACCGCCAGGAGATGAAATGACCACAACCAACGCCAGAGCCCAACTCGCAACGGCACGCTGGGGAAGAAGCAGATGGTAGCTGTACACATCACGTCCCCCCACGACAATTTTCACCCTTTTCTCGGAAGAATACGACCGCATCCCATCGTTCTACGCCGGCTGTCCCACTCCCCTACTGCCGCCGACGATGCCCACTTCAGCGCGGCGATGATGCCACTGTCCTGGGGAGGGAGGTGAAGCGGGCGAAGAAAAGGATGGAGGCCGAGCACGCCGTCTTGCTGGCCGACCGGGACTCGACAATAAGCCAACTGTCTGGTGTGTGCAGTAGTACGTGTGCACGGGTTGGGATGCGTGCGTGCTTGGTTGCATTCCCTGTGTGCTGTCGTGCACGCGTTTCCCCCCCGCTTTTCTCGTGTATCTCTAGCTGTGTAGCTGTGGTATTGCAATATGGGTTGGTTTTGCCTCCGGCCACGGCGAATTGTTGGTGATTCCAGGAGTCTTGACGACCTCACAACCGTCAGCACGACTTGATTCATGGTATGTGTGTCCTTGTTGATTAGCCCGGGGGGGGAGGGTCTGTTTCACTATTTGGGCACCAAGTCGAATGGGTGCGAAACTACCACAAATGCCCTCGGAGAGATGCGTGATCACCTGCACCCCAAGAAGGTGTCAATAGTCTTGGCGGTTGTTCATCGATGTGAGATGCCTCCGCCGCGTTGGCACAAGCTTCGTATGTGCGTTATGCCGCACTTGTTCCGCCGCTACCCCCGTACGGCCTTTCGACAGGGTCGCCGGCCGTCGCCCGGTGCGCTTGAGACCGATTCTGCACATGTGCACGAAAGTTTGACCGGAGGCACCAAAAACGACAAGAGAAACGGACAATTTTTGATCAGGCTTCAGATGACTCTCCCGAGTGCCTCCCCCCCCTGCCCCCCTCCCCTTTTGTTCCCACTCTCCGCCCGTACCGGCCCTCTCACCCCCGTCGCCACCCACGCCCTGTTTGGAATGGACTACTCCTCAAAATATCAGGCGAGGTGACAAAGAGAACCGATGAGAACGCTTTGCTGCTGGTCGCGCTCGACTCCGCCGTCAAGGAGATGGCAACCCGCCTCTCCTCCAAGGTAGGATAGCCGGTCAGCCAGCCCACAGCGGCGCTGACTGCAGAGTATCACGGCAAGGGGTGCGCGCTAGAAAGAACACCAGAACACGGCATTCGATATCTATCGACAACAATTCTTCTGCGGAATAGAATCTTCGTACCGTGCTTTTTCGTTTCTCCTCTGGTTTGCACCTACCATACTCGTAAGGCTGGGCATGGGTTGGTATCGTGGGCTGATCACTCGGAGGTTTCAGCAGCGTACCCGCCACATTCCCACTACCATGTGCTTTTCGAGCTAGACCAATGTCCCCTCAGCATGAAGCTGTCGGTAGAAAAGTACAGTGGAGACCCGGATGGGGGGAAAAGGTAAAGATCATGTGGAAACCGTTAGCCTTTTCCGTCGAAGGAGGCCTGCCCGCCCTTCCGACGCATTTCGTCTCCGCCGTTATTAACTTAGCTAGCTGACATTGACCTATACCACCCTCATCGACTTACGATAACGACAGGACATGGAAATACAAGATGCTCGATCGGAACTGAAATCCGCCAAGCACCACTTCCACCGCCATTATCAGCAACACCGGCAGCAACAACAGCAACAGCATCAGGAACAGCAACAACAGCTACGACAACAGAGGCAGCACCTACAGCCGCAACAACAACAAAGGCAGCACCAACGACAGCAAGGTCAGGTCGTGGGCGGGGTAGCCGGTGACAGGGGCACCCGGAGCGGCAGCGTCGCAGGCGGCGGTCCCGCATCCGTTCGGACTAGCCCGGCATCCTGCGATGCTTCGGCTCAGGCCTCGGCTTGGGCGCCCATGACAGCGCGGGGGCGGCGGGGGACAGGGAGCCGGAGGGAGGTGCTCCAGTTGAGCATCGCCTTGGCCCGTCAGCGGCAGCAGCAGCTTCAGCATCTCAAGGCACTTCAGCAGAGATAAATCTAGCGGCAACGGCTCCCGTGGGGGCCTCCTACCCAACAAGGCCGTGCACCGACCCCCCCCCCCCCCCCCCCCCTCCTCATTTTGATTG